GTCTGGCCGACACGTCAGCTTTGAGGGGTGGGAGAGTAGGGAGGGAAGACTCGCGAGAACGTCCGCTGCGCTCCCCGCCTCTAGGTGGGCGAGCGGGGGGCTCCCGCCGCGTGCAGGGGCTGAGACGGGGAGGTGGGTAGGGACTTGAGGTGGCGCCAGCCCGAGGGGCGGGGCCGCAGGCGAGGGGCGTGGTCAGAGCGCGCGGCAGGCCCAGGGGATGGAGCCGTCAGAGGGTCACTTGGAAGGGAGCCCCCAGAGCGGTGGGAGCCGGGAGTTGGCGTTTTGGCTCGTTTTGTGCATTGAGCAGAGGCAGCTATGTCTTCTTAAAAGGGGAGGTGGAAAGGTGACTTTCTTCGCCCTGGATCTGTGGGAGCTGGAAAAGCTCGCGTCTTTTAATTCATCATTCTTTACAGCTGGCCGCCTGCTCGCGGCATGGTCCCCCGCCCCCTGGGCGCTGGGAGGGGGAGAGGTCCAATTAGAGGAGTCCCGGGCGCGGCTTTTACCCTTTCTGCTCTCCAGGCCTTTCGTCCTAGAAGGGCGGGCGGGTTCTGAGGGGCCATCATCTCCCCGTAGCTCTCTTTTTTTGAATGACAGGCCAAACGGAGAGGTGTTCCGGGGGGGTGGGGGGAGGAGAGTGTGTTGTTTGTTTAGCTTCCTTTTTTTCCTGTTTTTTACGTGGGCGTGTATACAAACCATGAACTCTCTATGGTCATGTTGTATGGGCTAGAGCGGTCTGGAGGGGGAAAATGGTTTCGAGTTTTTGAAACATGAGAAATTTGGGACCTGTCAAGGAAAGGCCAGGGAATTTTCCAGCAAAGACTTGTATGTGCTTCTAATTTTGTCCTACTCAGAAGCTTTTGAAAAGCTGGGCTCCTGGTTTCATTCTAACCTGTGTTCCATTTAATGCATCTGAACTGTGATGTGATTGACTGATTTATCGGATGAGCAGGGCACTTTTGGACCACCCAACTTTAGTTCTTTGTGGCTGTCACTCACCTTTAGTGCTGTGCAGCTCAGAACGTTTTCTCATTAATCCCCTTAAGATGGAGGAAAGATTGTTATAAATGATGAAATTCATACCATGTGTTGGGATCACTTATTACAGAAACTTAGAAAACATATTCATTGTGACTTTATCCGTTAAACTTAAATCAAATTGATGTTTTAATTTAATATATTGTGCCAGATTCACAAGGAAATAAACCGTCCTATACATTACATACATGTACAAGAAAGACTGCATCAAAAAAGAATTTGCTTTTCCTAGTTATATCCAAGGCCTCTTTCCTTCAGAGTCAAAGTTATACCCTGCTTCTTTAGAATTGGGCTAATTATACCTTGGTGTATTATATGTTTTAATTCACTTTTTTCATTATTCAGTCATATTCCTCTTGATTTATTGAAAAACATTAAGGCTCCAGAAAAAAGGCAAACTGTGTAGGTTGGAATGTCGTATTTTTTCTGTTCTGTAATAAAAAGCATTAACTTGATTGATTGACTGGATGTGGAAGATGTGTTGCTGTGTGTATGTGAAACTGTGCATGTACATTTTTAAATAAATGATATTTTTAACCAGTTCCATATTTCAGCAAGTAGTTCCAGCGACAATTATACAAATTTTGTATTTATGAAAGCCAGCTACAGGGAGGCCAGCCTGGCCAGTAGAAAGTTGAATTGATTATCCAGGCCACAGAGAGAGCCAGGGAATTTCACATGTGTGGCAGTTTCAGGTTGATAGTTGTGGAGCCTCAAGTCAGGCTGGAAATCAGCTCCAAATGAATCATTATTATTTTTTAATTGAAGTTTAGTTGATTTACAATATTGTGTTAGTCTCACGTTTACAGCATAGTGATTTAGTATTTTTGCAGGTTATACTCCATTTTAAGTTATTATAAGATAATGGGTATAGTTCTCTGTGCTATACAGTATATCCTTGTTGCTTATCTATTTTATATGCAGTAGTTTGTATCTATTAATTCCATACCCCTACTTTGTCCCTTCCCACCCTTCCCTCTCCCCTGTGGTAACCACAAATTTGTTTTCCACATCTGTGAGTCTTTTTCTGTTTTACATATACGTTCATTTGTATTGTTTTTCAGATTCAACATGTAAGTGACATCATACAGTATTTGTCTTTCTCTCTCTAACCTAGTTCACTTAGTGTGATAATCTCTAGGTCCATCCCTGTTGTCGCAAGTGGCATTATTTCATTTATTTTTATTGCTGAGTAATATTCCATTGTGTGTGTTTATTACATATATACATGTATATATCACATTTTCTTTATCCAGTCATCTGTCAATGGATGTGTAAGTTGCTTCCATGTCTTAGCTATTGTAAATAGTGCTGCTATGAACATTGGGGTGCATGTATTTTTTTCAAATTATAGTTTTCTCCAGATATATGCCCAGGAGTGGGATTGCTGGATCATATGGTAATGATTTTTAGTGTTTAAAGGCATCTCCATACTGTTTTCCATAGTGGCTGTACCAAATTACATCCCACCAACAGTGTAGGAGGGTTCCCTTTTTGCCACACCCTCTCCAGCATTTATTGTTAGTGGGCTTTTTAATGAAGGCCATTCTGATCATGTACCTCATGTTTTTAACCAATTGTTGGTTGATAGGCATTTGGGTTGCTTCCATGTCTTGTCTGTTATAAATAATGCTGCTATGAA